CCTGGTTCAACAAGCCATAAAGCGGCCCATCAAGATAGAAATGACAAGTGAGAATGGCGTAGGTGCATTACAGTGCATTTCATATCTATCCTAAAAAAGAACGGTTGAAAGTCAGAAATAAATCTTGTTGAGGAATGTGAAACGTTTTATGCTAGAAACAATCCTAACAAAGAAAACCCGAAGAAAAGCCTCCTATTTAATCTCTAGCCACTTCATCTCAACAGAAAGATCATATTTCCAAACATCGGTAATTCGATCGCGTTGATTACTATTTAACCGATTCCATCAATATGTCAAACTGACGAACAAGTGCAACCGGTTTGACTTTGTGTAGTAGATCGGCCCATCTGTAATGTGATTAGATAGATATTTCATGAACATTTCACCACGTGAACGACGGCACTAATAAGAATCACTTCTAGTTGCACTGTGTATCAAAATAAATGAAACCCATCTTTTTGTGTTATCGTCTCAGTTGACCACACATTTCTTGGATTTTTATATTTACGTCGACAAGCGATTTCCCATTGGGAATCTGTGTACAACTTGTTCTTCAATTGTGGACTCGTGCCATTAGCAAAATACAAACGCTGCCTACCTCTGCTTGCCTCAGAGAACTTGAATCAAGACGCATGCCACTCAAGGTGGTGTCAACGCGTGCCAATTGAAGATTTCCTCGCAATGCTTCCTCAATTGTGTTGTATTTAAACTTATATTTATGTTTTAGTAAGGGAAGACTAGTGACTTCGGTTGGATTGGTACCTACGCCTAAAAGACGCTTATTTTTGTATGACACGTGCTCCCATAGGTGAGTTATAAAGCCAAACCTACAGCTTGAATGTTTCACACCGAATCAAAGGCTTTGATTTGTATCTGACCGAGGTTACTGTTGTTTTTGTAACACTAGTTCTACTCCTTATTTGTTAACCGAAATTACACAAATTGAATTTAAAAATTCTCATCGTGTTTTTATCACCAACAGTCACGTTTACAAAACGCCCACCAAAATTGCGAATCTTACAACCGGACAATAAACCGATAACCCAGATAAAAGGTAATTTACGTACATCACGGGTCTAACGTTGTTCTACCCTGATCATTGAACCAAAGCAACATGTGTACACATTATTTTGTCAGAATGCCTCAGCCTAAATCAGAAAACCGCGGTTAAAACATTTTATGGTTATTTTCACTCATTCTGCGAAACGTTTTACCTTGAAGCACGTTTTTGGCCAACCGTAAACCCGAGAAACAACAGATTTCAGTTTCGCTCTCGAATAAGCTCATTCGGGTACCCTCGCCCGAATGGTGTTCGTTTTCACTGACATAAATACAAAGAGGAATCTGTTTAGTTTTACACTCATCATACCTGACTAGCAGTAGTAGTGACCACCGATTCGCATATTCAACTTTGAATTTTGGTCTTTTCGGCACCCCGTATTACGATATATTGATTAAAGAAGAAGAATAGTGTGCCAAACCCGTTTTGCCATTTTACAACTTACACTCGGACTGCTTCAGTGTCATTGTGATCCCAACTCAGAGTCACGAGAACCGCTTGTAACGTCACTCTCCTCAACACATCACAGGTAAACCAACAAACGATCGTTTCTTAAACCGTCGCGTTTTTTCCTGTAGATCCATTTTTGGCATGAACCTCTTTCTAGGAACTAATATCTGATTGGTCTCACAGATTGTGTTTTTATTCTGCTAGCAATAATGGGGACAAATATGTAAATGGTTATAATGAAAGCAAATGCAAAAACAAACAAGTTTCGGAATTGCGCGACGTTTTTGAGGGGTTTGCATATATCAGTGCTAGAGCTAAAACATATAAACGTCGAATTTGATCACATCCATCTGTGGTCACACACATCCGGACTAAACAAATACAATCATTTAATCGACCTCATGTCCTACCCCTAATTCATCGTAATTCTTGCCCGAACACGGTTGTTCTAAACTTGCACGGGGACTGTGTTGCGTGTCGCGGACTCATAAGGCGTTGTTTGTTAATGACAGTGTTGCGTGGAAACAAGTGATCAAGCCGAGCATCAATAGGCATCGCTTTGATGTGCACCGCACTCGGCTGAGGGGCACATTCATCTATTGCCAGTTTCGTCAAGATACACTCAACCGAGTATTACAGAAGCGAAACATAATTGTAAACTTTTGTAAAAATAGAATTTGAATAACATCTGTTTCAGGGTATCACTAGCTGGGTTCTTGTCTGACCAACAGTGTGATATAAAGTCCAGTTATTCAATTCTGCACCTCGCTTTCGGTTGACTGCTGATGCTTCCCAGTAATCTTTTTGGTCTGTTGCGACGCCATTCGACTAGGCAACCTGGAATTTATGTCAAAATGTTCGACGATAGTGGGATGATTTTGCTGATGTGGTTAGGTTATTTATTCATTCAAGGCGATGAAACCCTAATGCTTTAAAATCAATGGGAACACCGTGCACTTCCAGATCTCTGTTGCACATCTATTCACTCACTTTCTCCATCCATCAACTGTCTCTATCACTATCACTGTTTTTCTCCATTAATCAAGCTGGTCAACAACATTACACCGAGAGGATTGTGTAGTTATTCATCAAAAATGGTGCTTCATATTAAACACTAAACACTAAACACGGCGGCAATCTTTTCTTGCGGCTAAGCGACCTAAGAGAACACGTCCATATTGGCAACCGAGAAGGAATTAGGTTACAAAATAAGTTCAATCAATGAAACAGCTTCGTTTAACTCTTAAAGGGTAAACTCGAAGAATATCTACTGTGGAGAAGTTTAGATTTGGCAAACACTGATTAAAATGTGCCACGCTCAGATTAATTGCATACTTTTTCAAGTGCCCATTGACGAAGCGATTTCAAGTTACGTTCCTCTTGCTAGCTATTCATAAAACTTCAAGTGGATTCGATCACGACTATTGTAAGTAAGTGATACAGGTGAGGTAAATCCAATGAGGGTAGACCAGGTGTTACAAACTGCTACGATCCTTGGTGTTCAGGTGTGGAATTCACTTGCTTTCAGCTTGTACGGTTTACGAGCTTCGCTCTTCAAGTGAACCAACAAATTTCCATTGTTAATGAGACTCGAGAAGAGTGGAACAGACTAATGATGCTTTACAGTTCACACTTTGCCTGCTCTGTATTTAACAATTCTGCACGTTATGAAGCCAAGTCTATTACTATTCCCATACAGTTGTATAATTCCAAAATGCAATTGATTGCACAGCATACAGAACATGATGTGTATTGCGTATAGTTTTCTGACGTTGAGCTGTGCGGAACAGTGTTCCTCGCGTCCGTTATCTTTCACGTACTTTTTTAAGTTTTAACTCATCCACGTTCACACAGACAATTGCTGTCCTTAATTCCGTATTCGGAATGAATTCGCTATGTTGATGAACTTTCTACGAGCAATGAGCAAGAAATATAACGTTATTCACACTTAATTGAATTCGACATTTGGAGAACTTCGGTAACCCGTATGTCTCCATCCCCTCATTAAGCTTTTGTATTACCGTGAACGAATGTTGCTTGGTTTCGCTATAGTGGAACGGGAACATGATAATGCGGACAATATTACAAACGGAATGTTTACTGTAGACTGGAGAATAATTGCCGTACGCAAACATACACGCATGCACGCATGCTCCCACGCACGAATGCACAGACGCACGCACGCATGTACTGATGCTGCTGCTCGAAATCGCGAACACATGTGAATAAAGGTTACAGAATAAACACAAGGCGGACGCGAAATAGTGAGCGAGTGAGCGCACGGTCCGTGAGATAGTACAGATAGGGAGTAAACTGGGAAAAGGACGTGGATCCATTCACCCGTATCGAAGTTCACACGTTCAAGTGTGAAAAACGTTTATGGCCGAGAAACCGGATGCATTTCGGCCTGAGGAATTCTGTGTACTGATACAAATCACACTCGATGAAGTTTAAATTAAACCGCATCAAATCAGCACTCTAGTTCTTCAGTTTCTGTTGGGGGAGCTCTACCAGTTAGGGGTTTATTACATGCGAATGTCTGTAAAATTTGTCGGTCACACGTCCGACAAGGACTAAGCTCGTCGGTTGGCGTATGACGACAAAGTAATAGTGTATTCGATTCCACAGGTTGCAATTCAAAATCAAAATGTTTCGATCCATTTCGACCGGATGCTTCTGTGGCATGGGATCGCTTGACGGAACACGTGTTATGATGACTTGGACTAGTCTTCCCAATTAGGCGTTCGGAAAATAAGGTTTGATAATGCACATTGTCGTGAGTGCCGCTTGTGCACGGCTGAGGTTTGATCAATGCATACGGTTGATCAAATACGTTTGGATTAAGCTCTACTACATAGGTGTTGCTCAATTTGTCCGGTGTGCTGTTCAAAGTTCGATATGGGTCACATTCTCGGCCCACCGCAGGGCATGTGAGCTTCGCGCCTGTTTGGGAGTTCCACGTACCCGGGCAAATCGTGAAATAGGGCTCGGTTCCTGGAGTGTTTCGTCCAGCCACATCGTGCATCTGTTCCGATTGACGAAGCTCATCATCACAAACTGGTAAAGGAAAGCACACACAAGCGGCTGGATTAGGCACGTAGATGAGATCAATTAGCAGCCGGGAGGACATGGACTGTACATATTTATTCAATTTATTCTTCCTATCAATACCAAGCAAAGATAGCAGGGAGTGGAGTTTTTCCATAGAAAGAAACAAACCACATGATTTTCTATGGTAAAGGAGAAAAAATTGAAATAAACTATCAACTGTTCTGTCTAGTTACCAATCAGATAGTTCACTTTTACATTTTCTACAGTCCCTAATTAACGGTTGTTCATCTGCAGCACCCAATACTGTGCAATTAAATCTTCTTTTAAAACATTGATTGACGAAACTATGAAAAACAAAATATATATAGAAAAAATTCTTGTTGTTGAGAGAAACACTCTTTGTGATATAAATTTCACGAATAAATGTGACCAGAAAACCGGAAATCGACGGTTTGTACGCATGAGTTCTATGTTATGTCAATCAAAGAACCAGGCATTTAGGAAAAAACCGGGTCGGTGAAGCCAGGAATCGACCTGTATTAAACTACTTTGGACACCTAATTGGTCAGTTAATTTTACAATGGACTACGCCTCTATTCATTAGATTTTCTAAGCATTTAATTTGTTGTCGAATCGTGAATTATTTTCGTTCAACGGTACAAAGAATGTGATTAAATTTAGCTTACGGTTTATTGGGCTGAAGAATATCTTTGGTTGTTCACTGAATGTCTAACAGCAAACGCTGTACCGCTCTCTCTCCTTTTATTTACACACAAAATACCTTTACGTGAAACAGTTTAAGGCTGGCTGTTTACGGTTCGCCCCTGACCGTAGGCTTTTATTGGTATTCTGACCGTGGCTAAAGGGCAGGCCGGGGTAAATATGCGACACAGAGAATTTTTAAGTTTTTACAAGTAAATCCGTGTCTGTCAGTGTCTTGCCGCGTAGGTTGTTAAACCATTAGCACAATTTGATTTTCCAAAAGCGTGCAGCATTAAGATAGAAGATCATTACAGATTAGGTAGCAACCGGGAACCACCTTAAACGCATTAAGTGACTTTACGCAGAACCCACATTGAAATAGACTGCATCAACTCTGTCCCCGATCAGTGGCGTTCAGTATCCCAATGAGGTGCTCACAATGCATATCACGATATGAGTAACATTAAGAAATACATGTAGTGGTACTTGCGGCATAAGTGTATGCATATCTATAAGCAAAAGAGAAATCCGGCGATCAATGAAAAACCCGTCATTGAAGGATATACTGCACAGAAACTGGTTAAAAATTTATTTCAGCTACCTTTAGGGGTTAAAATGTTGTAAAATGGAGAGAACAGAAAAGAGGAAATGGGTTTTATCGTTGATCATTGTGGGACAAAGGATGGTTATAATTTAGAATTTCTGAACCTGGATGCAGTCACATGGTTTGATTACTTAGTTCCTTGTCTGTGGAATATCTGATGAAGAACAACTTGAAAGTGAGACGCGGGAGGCATATTAGATGGAACAAAAAGCATAATGTAGAAGTAGAACGTAGAGAGGGGAGGTTGGTAGAGTCATTGTTCGCTTAGGAGCTGGAAGCGATAGGTAGTCTGTCGATAAAGGACGCTTAATGAGGTTAATCGGCTTAAATTAAACTTGATCAACAAGATATGGAAACGTAGATAAATCTTCATCCCATGCATGAAACTGTTTAATTGTATGCTGTGTTTGAGCTTTACAAAATGAATGGTTGTGTGTGCGGAATGGAACAAGGATCCGATGCTTAACAGACAGAAGATTTTCAGTATCGTGTGGCGAACAAGCAAATAAAAGCTCCACGTGATCCGTGTTCAGTATCAAAGGGAATTGCGCTTCTGCAAAGATCTTTCACCGTATAATTTAGAGAAATGCTTAACACTTCTGGATAAAAATCTTAAGCCGGGAATGAATGCATATTGTGGAAGAAGGCAAAATAAACTACTTGTACATGGACAGTTCCGTTTGTAAGAAACCTGTGGACAATTTTGAGTATTGTAGTGAATCGATGGGTAGACAAATCAAAAACTGAACTCCAAATAGCACAATTTAAACTCGAGTAGTATTATAATAGCGAGATTACGAAATGGTTAAATTTAAAATTTCAATGCTTTCAAATTAAAGGGGAATATTTTCCAAATAACCGGAACCAAAAAGAAGACTTTCATTAAACGTCAAAGATCTACATGAATGACAATCGTCGTGGATTATTATGCGTTCATTAGACATTGAAAATTGGGTTTAACGAAGTCACAATGATGGACAGTCGGAGAGTAACATAATACAATTCCTATTCGTATGTCTACCGGGACGAATAGTCTTTCCTTTTAGTCGGATTTTATCGGGTGTACAGACCAGGTTCCCCACGGGGTAACTGACATTTTCATCTGAAATGACAGGAACGACCGTTGGTGTCACTCCTCTCTTCTCGATTTGTTCACTTGTTCACTTCTGGTGTACCTCTCAGATGTATTCTCACGAGAGAGAAAAAAATCACTTAAAATCTCCCAAAGCAGAAAACGAACAAGAACAAGAAGTACACGGGATAAAACTGTTGCCGAAAAAGATGTAAAGAAACGATTGAGGCAAATAAAATCAAGTTCTTCATTTAGGCACCTGCAGATTTCATATGCTTCATCAGATTTTGCAGTGAATATCCTGCCTGTGGTTTGTAATAATGCCTGAATGTTGGGAATTCAACATTTTGGAACGATGTTTTAAGGATACAATAACCTGTATACAACCGGAATTTTTATAATCACTAACACTTGAAGCGGCAGTGAGTCAATTAACTATTTAATTCAAATTTAAAAATGAAAATCCACGGAATTATATCATTGCAATTTCAGTTGAAGTATCAAAATGAACAAATGTTCAGATCCAATTAAATTAAAATATCCATTTTGGTTCTCATGAAGACTTTGGTCATTCTGTTGTAGATATTCGAAAATGTTCGCCAATAAACATGTACTTTTCTCTTTACACTTCCTCCTACTCTGAATAGTTCTTTCATCTAAAAGCAGTAACATGAAGAATCACATCTATCTGTTTACAGGTTTATGCTGGAATGTAATGCCGCAAATTCACGCAATAAATTTAAAGACGGGAAACATTTCACATGATGCATACTCTTTGATACCACTTACCCGTAGTTTAATTAACCAGTGTCTGGTATAGTAAAACTGGCCCGTTAGAGTGGTCGTATACTAGAGATTAAACAGTTCAGTACTTGACTGATGCAATTTTAAAATGTTGTCGAATCCAAGTATCTGAATTTATAGACACTAGGGCAATGTAAAAATAGCAAGCGTAATGAATGTTACACAATTCAAGGAGACCAAAAGAATTTTCAGGAAATCAAACGCACCAAACTATGATTAGAGTGTTATCAAAAAGGAATAATGTTTGTGAAATTACACAGACTTATCCAGTAGTCAAGATCATAAACATATATCCCATGAATCTGTTGAATTCTACTACTCTTATTTACGTGACAATCATCAATCAACGTTACTGGAGATTTTGAATAAAATATAGCAAGAAATTGTGAAGAAGAACGGCTCTAGATCAAATCAAGATCACTTAACAATGAACCGTTTGTCTTCCAAATTATTCAGATTAGTCACTTGTCCTGTTGTATTTTGTTAACTAGAGATAAGCTATTAGGAAATAGCCTTTCAGTTAGTATTTTGAAAAAGTAAAATACAGATACTTGCAAATGTAACTCCTGTAGTATTTCCTCCCTCTGTTACACTTTATTTCAATTTTCTTGCAGGGAGACTGTTTTGGTCATCTTTGCAGTTACTCACTTCTCCAATAAGGACTTGAAAAAATTATACTTTATCTCTCTCTCTCTGTATGCAGGAGAAAGTGTTCCTGCGAAAAAGTTTAATCGTGATCAATTGTTTATGCACACAGATGTCTGTGCACTACTGAGCATTTTACCATAGTAGACAATTCAAATTAGATGGGGAATTACGTCCAAAAGATTGATGACCAAGTAATGTAACACAATAATTTCCTTATGGTTGAAATTATCGCGTCATCCAAGCCACACTCCAACTTTACCAACATTTTGATGGTGCGATGCAGAACCATCACGGACTCGAGGCAATTTATCATCTGTTACCCGAAATATCACTGACAACTACAGTCCATTACGATAAAGTATGAAGGAACGATTTCAGTTTACAACCGCTTTTGCTTACAATTACGAGCAAAATTGCCGTCAGTGGTGTTTACCGATAATAATAAAGTGTGCAAGGATTCACACCCCCAAAGCGTGGTGTAAAACGTCACCTGACGAATGATTGATTAAAATCCTAATTTGGATCCTTCCATATACGATGCACAACGCAGAATACGGTATTGCACTTTCACGGTTTTACTTCGTGAACGTTCGGAGGAGAAACGCATTTGATGCTGTCATTAACCCGATTGGAAAAATTGCAGTCCACTTAAATTCGGTGCAAACTTCTTTCTGCCATTGTACCCTTGAAGAGAAACAAATATCTGTCTGTGTGCCCGAAAACAATTTTCGGAAGCGCTGCAGCTTCCCTGACCCACCCACTCACTCCACCCACCGTATCACGAGTAATCTCGATGATCATATGGGTGGAAAAACAAATATGGGATCCGTGGTGAATCCAATTTCCGGTCTCATGATCAAATCGTTTCTAGTAATCTGTGATTTTAGCTTACTTTTCCAAGACAATTCTCTTCTTAAGTAGTTATATATATATATATTGGCATGAATACGGATCTCCGAAAGGGAGCCACTCTGTTGTTTTGTTTGAAATACCTGTTTTGAAAATTCCGAGGACGTAAATTCAGTTGTTCAATACCAAAGATTTATTGCAATGTAGTACAATCGCTCGGTTCTCTAGCCACAGGCTATGATGGATAAGAAAATGTTAGTAACTCTACGAAGCACCCTGAACTAAAATGTAGTTGGTTCTTTATTTCTGACCGTGCCTAAAAGATTTAAACAGTCAAAAGCTCAAAATATTTTTTTGATCCTCATCAAAATTCAGGGTGATATTAAACGAAAGAAACTGTGAGCCGATGATTCAAATCGTTCGCCTAGCTGGCACTTATTCCTACTTCGATAAACCGAAAGGGTTCAAGCAATAACTCTAGTTGAGTAATCACCTGCACAAATAGTATATAGGAATGAAGATGCTAAAAGGATTTGATTTGGCTTTTTTGATGAATTTATCGTGTAAATGAGGCTTGAGGTGAAAATCTAAGAACCTGTGAACAGCTCTTTAGGCGATTCATCATACAAACAAATCGAATCCTTCAATACTCTCATACAACAAATAGTCAAAATGGGAACGTTGCGAATCAAATCATATCCATGGATGCTAGTACTGAGCTAAACGAAGACCGATAGTCACAAAAAGCTCACATAGACGGGTTGTGCTACATCGTGTATATTCCAAATTAGCAACGGTCAGATCAGCTTCCCGGTGGCTTAGTGAATAGAACACTTGCGTTCTACCTATGAGGTCTCTGGTTCGATCCCCAGTTGGGTGGATAGATTCGAAATGCTGATATGACCCAATCAGATCAAAACAGCTGTCCAGTGCCTCCCAGCTTTTCAGCTCACACCTCATTTACAAGACGAATTCATCATATAAATTACTAACAGACTCTTTCGACCATGAAAGGAAACCACGTTTTGTTACTAACAGTTGGCTCCTTTTGCACAACTCAAGTGCAAGAACCAGGGCTTTCAGCGTGGTGCAGCATCACCCTGTTGAACATGATTGAAAGAATGAAGGGCAATTGTTCAGATGCTCTGTGTACCCAGTAAGCTTGATAAACTGTTCGTCATGGGTGATTTTCATCATGTGCTCTAATCCAAGCTGATTCATTTCCACCGATATTTCGAGATGAAAATTATCAAGGAACATCAAAGTGCAGGTAGTATTTTCAAGCACTTTGAGACAGAACACGTGAAACATCAATATTTGGTGTATCGTATGAACCTTAAAGGTTTATTACCTTTTACCTTCAAGTTTTGTGTAACAGTCAGATTTTTGAAGATTCGCTTTAGACATCTTTTCGGCGAATGCGTGTGAAAACCGGTGGTCACATTTACTTACTCAAAGCTCTCCCTTGAACATATTATGGGAAGCGGGTACACACAGTCTCAAAACTACTGATCTGCATGCATAAGAAGAATATAACATATTGTGTTGGTCTGGTAGGAGGAAGATTAGCATCTCATAAGCATCCCATAAGTCTTATTCAGCCGAACCCATGTTATGTGTCAAAACGGAAGTCAGGCAGCCTGTCTGGTGGACAATTGGTGGTCTCAAGTCGTGTTTTTAACTCCCTCCAGTGCGGTTTTTGATTGACAACCAGATGAAGTTTCTAATGCTTGTAAGGCAACCAGAACAAATAGCACAGAGTAAAACGCATTCACCTGGGGCGATTACCTCCTTGCTTAATGTGGATATACGTAGAAATGTATAGAGAGAGATGAATATGCGCACAGCCAGACCTATACAACTAGGGAGAGCAAACCTACAGCGCAGGTTGTTTGACAACTTTAATTCACTTAAGTACACACATATTTACCAAGCTCAGGTGGACATGAATAAAGATCATGAACCATGAAGTCTAAAACAAGCTGGGCATCAGTATTGATAAGCCGCTAAATAGGGCAAGTACTAACGTCACTAAATCTATGTTTTCAATGGCATATTCTGTACTTCGGTTCAACTGATGGATTTAAAACAAACATATCTAGCCCACACACAGATAAATAATCACTTTCCACGTACGCATTGACTAGTTATTAGATATATAAAGTCTGGGATTTAGCTAATGTTGGTTATACGCACAACTCAGGTCGTTTCACGATGGAGTCAACTCAAATCCGACGAGTAGAGCTCGAGGTCAGGGGAGTGAACTATCGATTGCATGTGCAACAGTGAGTTTGAATAAATAAATAAACAAATGCACCCCAATCAGTTGTTTGGTCGACGCCCCTGAGCGTACATGCAGAAATATACTTGTCTATAATAGATTATTTACGTCAACAATAACGTGCCTCATTTTGATCGGATTCTCGGTTGTTATATTGTTACCGATTGGAAAGAGCGGAGAGTGATAGAACGTGTACCTGATGGTCTGGGTAGTGAAATTTGTAGCTTGTATGTTTGCACGTCGATTGTTAAAAATGTTTCCTTAGAGTTAAAGCGGGTGAGAGAATGAGTCCGTTCCTTTTGTTTGTACTTGCTCAGAACGGGAACACACTCGCTGGGGTCCTACATATATGTTTGTGTGTGTGTGAGTGTGTGTGGTCATTTAAATGCATTTCGGCCGACACGTGGACTGGAACGGAAACAGGGACGGAGAGCATAGAGCAACTTTAGATTGAAGTGATAGATTAATTCAATTTGACGTCCACAGCTTTTTGCTCTATATGCCCTCGAGACACCCAGCGACAACGAAGTACAGGACCAGAGTTGATGAGGGATAGAATGGAGTCACGAGTGGGTTAGTGCAATTGAGTGAGTTGTACACATTCCATTTACAAGATCTTTGCATGTTAACTGGATTTTTCGAATGTCCAAATTTGGATGATAAACAAAACATTTGCCGAAATAAAGGAAAATCTGCAAAGGAGATATGAGTGTAAACAATGAAGCCATCTAAGCAGTATTGGAATGCGGAATCGTTTTTATCCTCTATTCTTGAGGTCTTCCAGGTAAATCATTTTGATTTAAGAGTTCTACTGCTTTCAGTCGTTGCTGAGCTCAGATCTCAAAGATGTACTTTTTGCAAACGGCTATCATCAGTGTCACTTAATTTGAATAATGGTACACCAGCAATCCAAAACAATTCAATTCACCGGGCTGGAAAGTCGATTTTCATAGGAAGTATCCCCTTGCAATATAAATACTCTGAACTATCGTAGGAACTGTTGAGCACACATGTACAAACCTACGGTGAAAAATAGTTATCAATCAACGATTGGATTGGGGATAACTTTATCAACATCGTGAACACAACTTGAGTTACATTTACGAATTTATTTTATATCGATGTCGACATCTATGTCGATTTTTCACAGAAAACATCAGTTTAGGAATCGAGCTGAATGGCAACGCTGTGTTCATTATTCAAGTACAGCTGGGAGAAAAATTGCTTTATTGGAAACGTGTCACAAAACACACTTATTGACGTACGACTTTCGTCGTTAATCGTAAGTTTATTCTAAACAAGGCTAATTGAGAACTTTCAGGATATTTACTGCCCATTAGAATCGTATGAATCGTTCATCTTTTTGAATCGAATGAAAATGATCCACGTTTTTCAGTTTGGAAACAACCGTTCAGAGTACAGTCAAATAGCTTGTTGCCGAGACAAATCACGTCATTTTTTGTGTGGTTTGGAGGTCTATACAGAATGCAGGTCTCAAGGTTCTATTTTTCTTCGCAACCAAACAGGAACGAGATACTAAGTGAATACCTATCAAGAAAAGATTATTTATTATTCTTTGAAGGTGATATAGTATCCGAGACTCAAAATTGTGCTTATCTTTCCCAGAAACCAATTTTGTCGGTTATTGCATAGCATAAAAATGAAGAGNAAGAGGCTTAGGTAGATTTTTGGTCTGGGTAAGAAGTATCACAAATCAGCTCTGTCAACATAATTCACGGATTAAAGAAGCACGAACATTCTCCACTCAAATTAGGTGAATTCGAAATATTTGCAGTAAAGGTAACAGCGTCCGGGTCCCCGAGCTCATATCAAACTATTCCACAACGTGTCAAGTTAGTTTCATTTTTAATAACACAACAATCACTGTCTCACCTGTGGAAGAAAGCACATAAAGATCCTGAGTTGAATTTTTGTTACACATGTCTGGAACTTCGGGCATGTTTGGAGCCTGCTTCCTGCCCCGGTGAANTGAATGCGAGAGAGGAATTCCACCACGTTTTTCCACGATCCGGCATGGCCTTCTTCTCCATTGCTTGCATGGATACCGGACCACAGACCACAGTTCTTTGAACACGCCGAGTTCCGGTCAATTGACGACACCGAATTAAACAGATAGCAAGGATGAGTATCACCGAGATCACAGAGGTGAGTGCGATCAAAACAACCATGATGACTAGATCCTGGTCGAGAATACGGCCAAACTCATGCGCCGAGGTAGTACCGTGTCGATTTCTGTCCCCACGTTGAACAGAATCTGTCTGAATCCCAGACGTACCGGAGGGGAAAATCAATATATCTAGTACTGTCGTATTGAATCTCGGAGGTTGGCCCCTATCGGAAGCTTTGAGCACCAGTCTGTGTTGATAGAACGGTTTCTTAATACCTCCCAAAGTATCTCCTCTTGCTTGTACTCGCCTATTCTCCTCTGAGCCTCGAGTTCGATTATCCTGGTGTAGAGAGGTACTCGAAACAAGTGCTTTGGTGTCGTTTTGCAAGAAACGATGAAGTGATTTAGCCAAATATAATGCACCATTAAGTGGATCCACTTCAAAGTAACCATCTTCATTCCCATGGAGAATGGAATACGTCACCTCGCCATTGGCACCATCATCCAAATCAATAGCTTTCAGTTGAGCCAACTGAAACCCAACCGTGGCTTGTTGTGATATATTCACTGTAGTTCTCGATCCATACTGTTTTGGGAATAACCAAACAGGACTGTTATCATTGGCATCCAGTACACGAATAAGAACATTGGCAAATGCGGACATTGGCGGTCGACCACCATCAGTGGCCACAACTTCAAAACTTAGTACAGGAGTCTGTTCACGGTCCAATTGATTTTGTTGTGTGTAGATTATACCGTCTGTGCTGACAGTCACATGCAGTTTGGCCAGTTGTCCAATCGGGCCGGGAATGGGTCGCATACTGTACCGGACCATGTTGTTCGGCGATTCCGCGTCTTGATCTACCGCGAACACACGTCCAATCTTGAGAAGAACAAGAAGAAAAGGGTAATGAAATTCATGGGCAAAGAAAGCAGTTTTCATTTTAACAAACCTAATCAGTAGTACATTCAATTCATCCTAGGTAACAAAGGACTGTGTCATCAGAATATACTGCGCAATCAAACTTGTTGTCGTCTCCAGAACACGGTTCTCATCAGCACATCTTCAATTAGATCCAGAGTGGCTAATGTTCAGAAACGTGAACTCTTAACTTCCCCGAGCTCGCACTATTGAACGAAAATCTCGACCGTTACACAGGACTTATTGTCAAATTCGATTTACCCTGATTATATCCTATTTGCATAGTGATTGGTTATTGTACTTTTATCTAAACAAATAGTCAATTACCATGAACGGATAATTCGAATGTGAAAAGATTAGTGCTATCGGTATGGCCTCGTAGCTCAGCTGGTAGAGCGTAGGCTGCGTCCATGTGTGGGTTTGAATCCCACCGAGGCTACTGAACTTTTCACATTCGACAAAAGAACTTCAAATCTGCCAAAACAACCATTTGCACAAATACTGCTATAGATACAGCAAAATTATGTTTGAACTAACTTGTGTCAACTGTAAATTCTGTATTCAAGTTCGTCTCGAAATAGAGGTCATTACAATTTTCTAGAAGCTACGATTGATGAATGTTGTCTCCAAGTGGCAGGTGCTTCATTTACCAAACTATTTTGTCCCGGAAGAAGAAGCATGATTTAAACACCGTTAGACGGTAGCGATCTATTCTACCGAAAGGGTTATTCGGTCGCTTGACTATTTATGTTTATTCACTGATATCACTTCAATTACGGTTCTCGTACATAATTTGTCATAACCGAGGTAAACGCAATGCAAAACTTCTATGGTTAAGCAGTTAACTGTATCTATAGTCCTCCTTTCAAATTTCGTCGCGAAATGCTACTTACTTTGGACTGACTCGCCAGGTTTTTTAGATTAATGTGTGATGAAATTATGAATTCTGTCGCGTACAAATTCAAGCGAAGCACGAAATGAAAAAAATGTTTTGGCCTGGTCGAGTCAAAACCCTGGATCCAACTGAGGAGCAAACCGGAAACTTCTTAGATAGAACGCAAGCATACTACCTGCTGAACCAACGGATATCTGATCGAATGGTAGCTCATTATATCTATCTACAACAAAGAGCGATCTGTCTATGCCATTATGTTACGTGCATCACATCTAGTTCAAGTCAGCAGCAGCCTCTAGAGCTGATATTTGATCGAACACATTTCCGAGTGTTTAGGGAGTCTATATGAACCCGTCATAACGCCTCGTACAGAAGTGGTTATGCAGAGTTTTAAAATGAGGTGAGGTGAGTGCAAACTCAACAGAATATTCATACTTCAATCGGATTTGCGGATTAAACAGTGAACAAATTAAAAAATTAATAAAAGTAAAACAACTATTCACGAAAAGCTTTTGCAGTTTTTGTCAGTTTCTCAATCTCATTGTGGTTTAATCGTCACGCAGCTTTTAAATAAGACCATATTCAGTGTTTTACAGCCGCCAGTGCACAAAGTGCGGTTCAATCTACGATGTGGTATAAACTCGTATCTCTGACTTAGATAGAAGTATAATGCACAATAACGATCGGTTCACCGCTGGTTCCTTTCCTCGTCAAGATCAAAATAAGTTTAATCAATGTCTGTCGAAAAACCAATAAGTTTCTTTTCATTTCTAAAAATATATTGTTGGAGCAAAGTTGCTTGCTATCGATTGCTACTGTTTGTACCAGTGTGCTAGGCATTTTATTTAACAGATTATTCAAACTTCTTTTGTAGTACTATTACCTTTGACCGACAGATATAGATAGGGATTATCTTTCATTGTCAATTAGTAACTTAAAAGTATGCCAAGATTGCTCTAAACAGAAGAACAGAATAATGGAGGGAAACATTTGTTCATCAACAATTCGCAATCAAATCGACTACGGAATACAGGGGCACAGCTGAAAAAGTCAACTTCACAATTCAACCCAACTAACATCACTATCGTATGCAGTTTGTAGTAATCTAACTATCCTCTTCATATAAGAAGTTTAACTCGTTTATGATCACTGAGTGAGGTTCAACAATCTCTCTGTTCCAGTGAAGATTTTGAAGAAACAGATAATGTGATTTTCAATTTATGCAGTGCTATAGAGACAGTTTTTCTTCACACTCGCAGAGTAAGCTCTCGTCATCGAAAACGGAATGCTTCATTCGCAAAGCAATTTCTGGGACCTCCAGATGGAAGAGGCTTACGGCAAGTGATCAGTTTGCTGTGCGAACAGAAGTAACGAAAAACAAACAAAACCATTGACAGACAAACTTGATGCGGCATTCATTTGTCCTTCAAGTGATCTCCCGTCTTCATACCCCAAAGGCTAAATATCTACCGTAGACCCGGTCACACATGAGGATGTCCACCATCTTAAAACCACAAACCTCACGAGTTCAGGTGGCCCCGCTGGTGTTTCTTCTTCTATATTCAAATACGGCAATCGTTCACTCACAGGAGTGTATGCGCCCGTTTTTAACAAATCTATTTACACATGTTCAATTTTGGAGACCGTCCATCATTGTTCCCATTCCTCAATTATCATCTAACATTTATTCAAACGCGTTTGTCCTATCGTCTTCACTTCCTGTGGACTTAACCAAGTAGAGCACGCTATTCTCAACCGCTTACAGTCTGGGATCAGTGTTCGTAATGAACCTCTACAGAATGCGTATAAGTCAAATAAATACAATTTGGATGCAGTCCCTACACTGATGCACTTGATTTGCAAACTTTTAGATCATTCTCAGAAATCCTTCTACTGTTTTTTTTCTTCAGTATTCGTNCGTCCACTTTTGATTCCGTTCCACGATCATTTTTTCTGCGACAGTTTCATTCATTCCATTGGTCCACTAACTTATTCTCGTAGCTGAAAGACTATTTCACAGGCAGGAGTTAAATAACGAAAGTAAACAGCACTGTATCGGAACTGTTCGTGAATCATTCTGGAGTCTTTTAGGATGTTCGGCTGTCTCGATACTTGGTTTTTAACTTTCATCATCTATCCCACCAGCCTAGACCTTCAAAAACGCTGATGATGTGATCCTATGTCAAGCCACTTCAAACCAATCGGACATCATTTTATGACATTTTATTACAAGTACAAACATTATTGAACCAACATGGTATCCCGTGCAATGCTTCTAAATGCTCCCAATTCGGTTTTAGTCCTTCTCGATTTAAGTGCCCCTTGGAACCCTCAATCATCAATTCCTACCAATTGCCAAAACACGTAACACCAAACAACTAAAATTCACCACAGAGAGCAATCTACGGTAGTCCTCTCATGTGCTGGTGTGTGTTGATAGACTGAGTCGCTTATTCTTGTAGACATGCAAGCCACGACAATCTAGCGTGAAGCATGAAACTAGGTTTATTACTGACCAATGCATTTTTCCGGACATAAGCTGTTGTTGTTGTTGATTTGCTTCTTCTTAGAAAGGATTTCAATACACTTAGTCGCGGATCAAAATTGAAAGCCGTTTCTACTACTCTCGTAAAAAATATAATCAACAAATGGACGATTCTCATTTTCGCCAAAAAGATATTCAGCAACCCAAGTCACCCGTTCAATCCCGATTTCGACTAGCCGCACGAATGACACGAGCAAATATTGCTTAACCCCGCACGATAACGCGAAGAGAGGACATAGATTGCGACCACAGTCAGTGTGTATTCGTTCAGTTACATTTCGATACACAAGAGTATAGCACAATCACGTATACGAGAAGACTGCCCGGGACGTCCCAGTCAAACTGTGGCCTTGGCATATCGATTGATCGGTCCAATCAATCCAATCGGGTTCAGCTTGTCTGGAGCGTTGCGAGCGTGCGTGATCTGACGGGTTGTTTCAGCTCCGTGCTAATACCTTCCCTCTTGCGTATCGAAATGTAACTAAACGAATACACACTGACTGTGGTCGCAAGCTATATTATCTCTTCGCGTTATCGTGTGGGGTTAATCAATATTTGCTCGTGTCATTCGTGCGGCTAGTTGAAACACAACGCCAGAGTGTTCGACATAAACATATCCGTTTTGACCGANCGGTTGCTTATGAAATAGTGCACCAGGGAGATTCTTTGTCTCCGGAGAAAGAATAATCAGATGTTCTGAAGTGTGCCATGGCATGCTGATTAACATTCGGGTGGCCATCTAGATCGTTCTGTTGAAATGAAGCCTAATAAATGAATGCCAAAATGTTTTCGGAAATCATTAAAAAAAGGCCTCGTTCGTTACCTAATCATCTAGACGAAATGCTCTAAGCTCGATTTTAATCGCATTGCTAGGTTGTGAAATTAGTAGGGCTTTCAGTTAGGCCACATTATTTCTCGCGTTTTCAGGTATACGTATGATCCGGAAATCATCAAAGAATCAAGCATCTGTGACGACGTAACCAGTGGTCGTGTGCTCAGTAAGATGCAAAGCTAACACATTTCACGTAGGTCTAACAGTAGCCATTTTCCCGATCTTGATTCTGATTAAGCATGAACCGGATCAATAAATCGCACAAACTTAACTCAGTCAACGTTGGGTATGAAGCAAATTTGAACAAGGTTCAACAGTTTTTCATCATGTCCCACATCATAACTCCAGTGGTGTTCACAATTGCAACCTGTATTCAGACATTAGAGATAAGGAATTCAAGCCCACATGCATGAACTGTTGATTTAATAGCACAAGTGCTTCCCGAGCCGAATCTCAGTGAAGGGATAAAATCTGAAACTAAATACAGAAGAATAATAGAATAATCTTGCTGAGCTGTAGGCTCCCTTGTATCACTCTTGTGAAATCACAGATACAATTGGCTAGTTACCGTTGCTCTGGTGTAGCTAATGTTTTAAAGAATTCATTGTTCATATGTTCCACCAGAAACAACACAGGTCTCG